ATTTTTTTGTCATTTGTTAAGTCATTTTCTTGTCATTTTCTTGTCATTTTTTTGTCGTTTTCTACTTTCTAGCATTGTTCATTTTCTTGTCGTTTTCTCATAAGGATCAGGCAAGCGGTGAAGGTGGCAAACCCGGTGAAGGAAATGCAAAAAAATGCAAAAAATGACTGCCGGTTTGGGAAACGCAAAAAAACGCCAAAAAAATGACTCCCAGTCTGGGAAATGCAAAAAAAATGCAAAACAAATGACTCCTAGTTTGGGAAATGCAAAAAAAATGCAAAAAAATGCAAAAAACATGCGAAAAAAAATTGAAAAAATGCAAAAAAAATGCAAAAAATGCAAAAAAATGACTCGCGTGCTGGTAAAGTTGCGTTTTTGGAGTTTCCAGGTCGGCCCCGCTTCTTGGGCCTGAGCCGCCCCTCCCCGGGCCATTTCACCCCGCACCCGGTTTTTGAGCCACCCCTGCACCCCGAGCCGGGAGACAACTCCTCGACCAGGCAGGCCCAAAAACGAATTCCCCAGGGCAAGCTCCCCTGCCCTATCCTTCTTCACCGCCGGCTGGCTTTCCAAGAGTTTCTGCACTTGTTCCTTGTATTTGGTGCTGCCACGAGATAACAAAAGGTCTGTCATGGTAGTCATTTTTTAACATTTTTTTTCTCCATTTTCCCGTTCCCAAAATGACAATAAAATGGCAATAAAATGACAAACAAATGACAAAAAATGACAAAGAAATGACAAAAAAATGACAACACAAATCCAAAATGACAAACCCAAATGCAAAAAAAATGCAACAAAAATGCAAAAAAATGACAAAATAATTATTTTGGAATTTCCAATGTTTGCAGGCCCAAGATTTTCCTAATACTAGTAATAGTAATAGTAACAGTAGGAGGAGTAGGGCGAAGAGTAGGAGAGGAGTAGGAGTAGCAGTGGTAGTATTAGTAGTATTCAGTATTCCAAGCTCAGATTTACTTCTGGGATCCTGCTCCTCCAAACCAGGTGATTTTTAGTGGTTGGAACCAAATTCAGATTCACTTTGCGGCTGCTCCTGCAAGCCATGTAATTTACAATGTATTTGCGTGATTTTAGGGACAAAACCCACGTTCACCTTTTGGTTTTTTTTGGCAAATGTGAAGATTGAGTAAAACTTTTTTGTAGTTCCATAATTTCATTTGTGCCTGCATTTTGGGAGCAAAAAGGTTAAACAGGTTCATCTCACAAACCCCTGCTTTGGGGACAAACTCAGATTCACTTGTGGGATCTGCATGTGCATGATTTAAGGACCAAACTCAGCTGCACTTTTGGTATCCTGCTCCCGCAAAGCACATAGTTTATGATGCACTTGCATGTTGGGACCACAGCCAGATTCACTCTGGGGGATCCCGATCCTCCAAACCACGTCACTTGCAGTGTATTTGCATGACTTTGGGACCAAACCCGCGTTAACCTTCAGAAACTTTTAGGGCAGCAAATTTGAACATCTGCTGTGGCCTTTTGTATTTCCATGACAAATGGTTTGCACAGGTTCATCTCAAAAATCATCAGATTCACATTCGGGGATCCTGCTCCTCCAAACCGCGCAATTTACAATGTATTTGCATGATGTTGGGACCAAACCCAAATTCACATTTGGGATCCTGATCCTCCAAACCACCTCACTTATACAGTGTATTTGCATCACTTCGTGACCGAACCCGTGTTCACCTTTTTAATATTTTTGGGGACATGCGAACATTTACCTTTCCTATTTCATTTCATTTTCAAAATTTTATTTGTGCCTGTATGTTGGGACCAAAGGGTTAAACAGGTTCATCTCACAAATCCCTTTTTTGAAACCAAACTCAGATTCACTTTTGGGATCCTGCACGCGACCTACAGTGTATTTGCATGACTTTGGGAGCAAAGCCGCGTTAACTTTTTGGAGCTTTTTGGGTAAATGTGAACATTTACTGTAACCTTTTGTATTTCCATAATTTTATTGCGCCTCTTTTTTGGGACCAAACAGGTTAAACAGGTTTATATCACAAATCACTGTTTTGGGAGCAAACTCAGATTCACTTTTGGGATCTGCATTTGCACGATTCAAGGGCCAAACTCAGATTCAGTTTTGAGATCCTGCTCCTGCAAACCACGCAGTTTACAATGTATTTGCATGAGTTTGGGACCCTTGGGCATGGTCAGTGGGTCATAGTGGCTGTCATCAATTATCGTAAATTGTGGCGCTCACGATTTCCAAATTTTTGTTTTCAGCCACACATGTTTGTTTCAGAGTCATAAAGCACAAAATAGGACAATATAAAGCGATGTGCGCACAAACTATGCACCGTAGCCATGGCAAAAGAAAACATGGGAACATGTCAATAGCCATGTTGTCACCTTTTCATGTAAAACATAATTATGGAAATGGTCCAATTCCAAACAACACCCTAACATGGAAAGCATAATTATGGAAATTTACCTGCGGGACATCCACGCCCCATCACAAGAAGTTCGGAAGACGTAATGAGATCGATTTTAGACTTCTTCAGAATAATGAGTAAGACAGAGTTATGGAGATACAGGGCCCCACCTGGTGCAGTTATTTCCCTACTCTTTCTGACCCTTTTTTCCATTTCCATAATTCTGTTGACGTTGACGACTGTATATTGAGCTACAAATTCAAAGAGACCCTGCCAAAATGTTTGGAAGGCACGCGCTTTGCGCAGAATCTGCTCTCCAAGAGTCCAAGAAATCCAATGAATTGAATTGACCGACCCAGGCTACAAGCAGTCGCCCGGTATACACAGTGGTAGAAGGCAGAGTGGCTTGGAGTTTCATGCCAGTGATTTGGCCATACTGTTCTAGATCAATTTGTAACATCTACTGATCTTTCGCGCACATGATGCAACGTTGGGCAAAGTCGCAGCACATGTTTTGTCCGAAATGGAAAGGCTTTAAATGTTTGCAGTGGTCAGCATCGGGAATGAGTATGATCGCCCGTGGCTTCGGCAATTTTTGCACAGTGCCAGTGCAGATTTGCATCAGTGAGAGCAAACCATTTTGCAGGATGTGGCAAGTAAAGGCAAGTAGTGCAGCAACCGCTCCGCAAATCTGCACACAGCGAACGCTGTAGCACGATTTTTTTTTGCAGACCTCGTCGGTCCAGCTTCAACGTGAAGACACGTGAAGACCGTTTCCTGTATATACATGTGGTGCAGGCAGGCATTTTCAAGTTGCCGCTCCACATGGTCAGCAGGTTTCCTCGCTTTTGGCTTTTCAATGTAGCACCACGCGAACTTCGCAATAGTCACCATACAATGTAGCTATTTGCTTGATCTTGTTCGTGGCACTGGGCAGCACTGCTCCCTTAAGCACAAGTTTTGTATTGGAGTTGTCATTTCAGACTTCATGGATCTCCTTGAATGTTCATGAATACTCATGAACAATCGAAACTTGATGCTTTCTGATGGAAGATGCAGGCCTTGTGCTTCTCGCCTGGAAGAGAGATTGATTAGGGAGCATTTGCTGAATTTGCTGCCCGTTGCAGATCCATTGCCATTCAAGCAGGCACCTAGGCAAAAAGAAACCAAGAGATACCAGAGACTTGCACAGATGCTGTTGGCTGAAGGGTGCAGAAGCCACGGTTGCGAACAGCAATGCGAATTAGTAGCCAATTCATAAATTCATGAATTTTAGCACACCTTCAGTACTCGTTTCAGTTTGCTCAGATCCGGAGCTACCAGATCTTTGCAAAGCCAATGCATGCACCTCTGACCTTCAAGCGACTTGGCAGCATCCGCCATTTTTTCCACAACTGCAAGTGCAGTTCTTTGCAGTTCTTTGTGGCTCTTTGGAGTTGTTTGCAGTTGCATCTTGGCATTCTGGGCCTTGTCCTTTGCATCGCCTTTGCTCGATCACTGTCAGACCTGTCAGTTTGATGCCTTTGAATTCCTTTGTACTTCAAAGAACTTCAGCTTTTGCGCCGAGGATTTCTACATTCCGACGGGAATGCAAAAAGTTCATGCGCACACCTGAGATTGGATTCGGATTAACCACAGTTGCCGTAGACACCGCATTGCTTCAGTCATATTTGCTTTCATGTGAGCTGGATTTAGTGAATTGTCCAGCTTCAGTGCATTGCCTAATTACTGTACATCCAATTACTAATCTAGTTTTTACATGATGAATTCAGACCACTAAATAGAGTAACGCAGTTTGAGTACGAAGAAGAAAGGGTGGATGATACGAGATCATTCTTCTTGTACCGTCATATCTTATATTTTATTGCCTCCTGCAGTTTCCTCTTAAAATGTGCTTTCAAGTCCAAAGCTCACTCAGTACTTTTCTTTTGCCCACAAACTAGCGTCAAAACTCAGCAAATAGGTCGTTCACAGCTTGAACAGTGTGATTCTCTTGCAGCATCACAGCATATCGCAGCGTTATGTAAGATCACACAAGATTACTTTTTTTTCTCGAAAAACTCCCGAGGAACTTGATATCCATCGGGGATGGAGATGCCGAGCGGGCTGCTAGCCTAAGGCTGCAGGTGCGGAGCCGAAGTTGAGCAAATGCAAAGGATGCAGCTACGATAAGGATCCATGAAGGGATCCATGCAGGGATCGATAAAGCTTTAGTAAGGCATTGTGCAATGCATTTGCGATGATTTCAGTCTCCTTTTTGATCCTGTTTGGCACTTTGCGGCATTCGCCAATGGTCTGGCAGGCGCCGGAACGAAAAGGATCCCTTGGCCTGACTCTTGAAATCTCAAGACGCTCAAGGTGTGCAAGGCGTCAATGATGGATCTTAGCGGTCTTAGCCCGTTGCTTTTTCCCAAGGTGAGGAAAAACAACGTGTGAAGTCAGTGTGGAGCTTGATAAAGATATGTTTCGCTTTCAACTCACCTTGAACCAGAAGCTCTTGATGCTTTGCTTCGCTCTGGTATGTCACACATTCATGATTTACAGTGTTTAATGGAACTCAGTGAACTCAGTGTCATGTCTCGTGAATTTGTGTCGTTCGAGGTGAAGCTGATCGAGCTTCCGACATGTCAGCAGCTAATTGTGCAGCATGAGATGCTCCAGGTCCGGAGCCGTGACGTGCCGTGGGTGCCGTGGAACTTTCCGACTGATTTGTGGAGGATCTTCGAAGGATCTGATCTTTCACTAGAATCTCTTGCAGTTGAACGCAAAAATACTTTGTATTCAACATATCTCAAGATCAGTGTGGAAATTTGCGGAAGGATACTGTTCTTGTGGGAGAAGCAGGAGTAAAATTTATAACGGAAAACAAAGAAGCCAGTTCAAAAGGTCAAAGACGATCAAAACACCGCTATTTTCCTGACTTTTGCCGCAGCCATGATTAGCAGGGACCTGAATACAAAAGTTTTTGCGCACGGAAAAGGCACATACCATCATTTGCGGTGCTTTTTGCCTGTTTTGTCTCGACACTGCCAGAAAAGCGCGCACGCAGGAGTGAACTTGTGTTTGAAAGTGACTTTGTGTGTGCGCTGCAGCTGGCGATGCGTTTGAAACCTGCATAAGAACACGCTGCTCCTTTGAACGTATCTGTTATCTTGTGTCATTCCTACGTTCAAAGGAGCTGGCATCTGGAGTTGTCTCACATTTTTGAACCACAACAATCAAAAGTGTTGAAAGGGAACCTTCGGGGCCCCCCATAGATAATCTAGCGCTTGTCGAAGGAAGTTTAGAAGTCAAACTTCCGACAATATGGACACATGAAAAAGCAGAGGTGGGAAGAGAAAGAGTCAGAAGAAAGAAGATGCAGGCGCGCGAAAAGGTAGAAAAGTCGCGAAACACGGTGTTTTTTCCAATGTTTTGGAGCCCTGGAGAGTCGAACAGTAGGCTCGCTAAAGCGGCGGGTGCGGAGCCATCTGACCAGATGAGAGATGACAAATTGCACGCCGTTGTGGCGCGAAGCACATTTCCAAGCCAAAGTGTTAAAAACACTTCGCGTTCGGAGCACTTTTGAAAGTTGAGATGTCGAAAAAGTGCACGGCGTTGAAGTAAAAACGTACAAAACACACCATTCGGAGCACTTTTGGAAGATGAGATGTTCAAAAAGTGCACGGCGTTGTGGTGATGTCAAAAGTGTAAAAAAAGTGACGGGTTCGGAGCACTTTTGGACGTTCAGATGTTTTTTTGCGTGGCAGGTGCAAGGGATTGCGCGCCTTGTCAAAAGTGAGCAGAACGTGAAAGTTTTGTGGCGGTTTCAAAAGCGTTGGCAGGCGTGGGACATTTGAAGAGGATCTGCAAAGATACATTTTGCGTGGCAGGTGCCGTACAAGAGACATGTTCATGAGAGATGTTAGGAGGTCCGGGCGCTGATTTCCTGAGAGGGGTTGCATTTTGGAGCATCAGATCTTCAGTTTTGGTAAGATTTGGTAAGATGTTTTCGCGTGACAGGTGCAGCGCTTCGTATGACCTGGCTTCACTTTTTCGTGGCAGGTGCAATACTTTAATCAGATGGAATGAAAAATCGCAAAACGCATTGGTACGAGGCCGTCAGCTCTGCACTCGACTTTGAATTTTTGAAGGAAGTCTCGCAGAATTGCTTCGTTTTTGCCGTTGTCGAGTTCGCGCAGAACTGCTGCGTTTTTGATGTTGCCAAGTTCAGAGATTGAAGAAGTCACGCAGAATAGCTTCGTTTTCAAGCTTGCAGATAGATAAGATAGATCGATAGATAGATAGATAGATTGATAGATGGATAGATAGATGGATAGATAGAAAGAAAGATAGATGGATGGATAGATAGATGGATAGGCAGACAGACAGATAGATAAAGAGGTATATAGTAGACAGATAGACAGATAGATAGACAACCGCAACTACACCACACTAGAACTACAACTACAACTGCAACAACAACAACAACAACAACAACAACAGCAACTGCAACTGCAACTACAACTTCAACTACACTTCAGCTACAACTACAAGTACAATTACCGTAACACAACATTACAATTACAACTGCGACTACTACAACTACTACAAAAATTACTATAACTACTACAACTACGCTACAACTGCAACTGCAACTGCAACTACAACTACGCTACAACTACAAATGCAGCTACAAATGCCGCTACGTTACAACAACAACTACCACGACCACGACCAGTAAACTACAGTGCAAGTAATTACAACTACAACTTCAGCTTCAGCTACACAACAACAACAATTACCATTACCACCGCACTACAGCTGCAACTGCGACTACAACTACAACTAGACTACGCTAGAGCTACAACTACACTACACTACAACTACAGCTACAGCTACAACTACAACAGCAACTACAGCTACTGCAACTACAACTTCAGCTACACGTCAACTACACAACAACTACAACTACAACCACACTACAACTGCACCTACAACTACGTTACAACTACAGCTACACTACACCACAACTACAGCTACAGCTACAACTACAATTGCGTTGCACTTCGCTACACTGGACTACATCCTGCAGTTGTGGGTGAGGTGACCATTGCAACCACTCCAAAAAGCACAACCGCCTTTCGGTCCATCAGTGGATTCGCTCTGCCATCCATGCATCACAACAACTCACCTCTCCTTTAGTTTCCTATCTTTGAAACTTCCGCCACTGCCTTGTGCGGCATTACTGGTAAACATGGTGAATTTTGCCCCTTTGGCTGGTGTGGATAAGACAATGAATATTGTTGATGACCACTTATGTCACATATCTTTGGGCCTTCCGCTGCAAATACTGCATTTTCAGCAACGCATACCAAAATATTGACCCTGCCAAAAAGGTGACAAGAGGGCAGCACGGAGGATACATCATCGGTTTCAAGGTCGTTGAACATACTTTGTCGTGATTCGAAGTTTCTTGTTGGGGTCGATGACTGTGCATTTCCAGTCTGGGGTTTAAAAACATTAAGAACAAATCATCCTGGTGTAACATGCGGCCAAGAAGCTAGTCACAGCCATCCCAAACGGGTTCTTGCTATATTATTGTTTTTTCACGTTTAAGTTTAAGATGAAACAAAACCTGTAGAAACTTTCATTATTAGGAAATTTAGGTTCCGCTTCAGAGAATGCTGGAAAGTTCCGGAGGTTCCGCAAGTTTTCCGCAATGTTCGTGGTGAGCGCTGGCTTCCACAAGAACAATGAACAGGATGTTTTTAAAGCATTAAGCGTTGCTCCTTTTGTGCTGAGCTTTCTGGAATCTAAATAGCTTCGTCTTGTCCTGTGGCTAAAGATTGCAGTGATGACCATCTCTCCTGGTGGAAAACTAGCCACAAACCGAAGCATGTCTTTGGTCGCACCTCTGCAACGCATGAATGCAGAGGATGACTAGTAGCCACTGGCTGGATTCTTTCAATAAAAGGTGTATCGTGATCCATGCTTTCGAAATAATTTGCAGGTTGTCGGCACAGACTCGACGCGAGTGTCCAGGGTATTCCAGGGTAGTCTGGGCAGTCTGGGATGCTATTGTGTTGGCGATTTGGCATTTGGATGTCTACGGTGCCGCGCAGGTGGTGGTCTAGAGCGTTGATGTTTGGGGCATTTAGATTGTAATTTTGAGCGTTTTTGTGCGTGCTCACTGTGCTCTCGAATGGGGATTTGGAGGTGGCCGCCAAGTGTTGTTCTGAACAGAGTCAAGAAAACACGGGCTGAGCATGGCTAGAAATTTACATCAATCTTAATGCACATAATGTTGATTCTGATGTCAATCTAGGGCACTGAAGACTGGGCAGACCAGTGGTCAGGGCTCGTGTTCAGGTTCATGCAGGATTCATACGTGCTGGATGTTTTTGGTGTACGCTTTGTGCTGTGAGCTTTCTGTCTTGGGCTGTGCTGCAAGCTTCTTTCAGATGTTGTGACTTGGTGTCCCTGTGTTTGCTGAGTTCCAGTAACTCAGGTGTCAAAAAACATACTCAGCCCCCAGGCCCCAATATATATATATAGTGTCTTCTGTGACTTTTTGTTTTCGTGAATTGTTTTCTGTGATTTGTTTTCTTCAGTGTCTTCAAACATCAAAAATCACTGCAGGTCCGATTGCCAGATGTCACGGCATTTTTTGGATGCTTGGACCTGAAATCCCGCTTTCCAAGCAGCGGCTCGCCGGGCAAGGCGCAGTTGCCCCAAGATTCCGTTGGTGTTCATGGCATTTCGTGCTGCTAGATTTTGAATTCGCTTTCCGGCACTTTCCTGCTTCACTTCTCAGCTTCTTGGGCATATGGGGTCCTTGAGGCTCAGCCCACACTACAGCATGAAACAGCAATCGGACATCAAAGAAATGGCAAGCCAAGCTTTTGCAACAATTTTCATGCACAGGAGCTTTATGTAGTTGTGGAAGGAGCACTCTCCAAAGGCCAACCATGGCCCAGCGAAGCACAAAGACAAAAAGCCGATGTGAACCAAACAACCATTGGCCATTTTCCATGCGCCGTTTTTATGGAGGCGCGAAAGGCCCGAATTGATCGAATTGTAGCTTTAAAATTCGGAAACAGGATGTACATTGGGATGTACAGGTTGGACGCAAGAACCTTCAATCCCAGGCCAAAGACTCGTTGCCTTCATGGTGGGACCGCCATTGCAACCTTCAGTCCCTTGATTTCAGTGAAGGCCATGGCTTGCACATGCTAAGTTTGTCGATGTTATCATTATGCAAATGCTTTGGGCACCCAAGGCACACCTACGGCACATGCTCGCTTGCAGTGCGCCTGAAGGAGAGTCAAGGGGGGAAGCTTCCAAAGCCACACAGCCCGTCAAAACCAGTCAAAGCCCCTGCTACGCGGTCAGACCTAGTAACTTTCGGGCCACGTCAGATCACGGTAGAATCATAGATATAGATCACCTCCCCCATCTCAAGCGTGTCAGACCACAGCGCAACTGGAGGCTTTGGGCATGAAAGATGCAGATGTCGCATCCTGGCTCCTTGCTCTCAAGGGCTTTATAGTTCAGCCCCGAGCAATTCCCGCTCTGCTACTATATGCATTTCTATGCTATTTTTAGCTCTTGTTCGAGCTGTTCTGAGAACACTTCCGATACAAGTGGTTTCTGTTTATTGAGGCGCGTTGTGTGGACCCGCGTGTGGAGCTTGCGTTGGAGCAACGATCTGAGTAACTACCTTCATTTGAACATGCTGTTTTGAAGAGATGTTGTCAGATCTTTCGATTCAGAGATATTCGATCCAGGAGACCAGACGGAATCGGTCACCCACTAGAAGAGTCAGACCACAGTGAGTCAATCACCCCCCACGTCGGAGTCAGTCACCCTCCACAGCCCTGCAAAGTGACATGGTTTCTTTAGGGTTTGTTCAGGGTTGTTTCAAGGTGTATGGGGGTCTATTTAGGGTTGGTTTTAGGTTTGGTTTAAGGTTTCTACAGGATTCCTCACGGTTTGTTTTAGGGTATATTTAGGTTGACTTAGTGTTGGTTTGGTTTATTTAGGCTTGGCCTAGGGTTTTTTAAGGGTTGGTTTAGGGTAATGATGGGTTTCCTCAGGATTTGTTTTAAGGTTGGTTTCGGGTTTATCTAGGGTTGGTTTAGGGTCTATTTAGGATTGTTTTAGGGTTTGTTTAGGCTTGGTTTAGGGGTTCTAAGGGTTGGTTTAAGGTTAAATTAGGGTTTCATCAGGGTTTGTGCGAGGGTTGGATTAGGGTTAACTCCCCAAACAGTGTGTCTACACTGAGGGGTTCTTGCGGTAGTTTAGGCTTGGTTTAGGGTATAGTCAGGCTTGGTTTAGGTCTTATTTGAGGTTAGGTTTGGGTTAATAGTTAATGTCGGATTTCGTCGAGGTTTGTTCTAGGGTCTCTTCAGGGTTTACTTAGTGTTGGTTTTGGGGTTTATTTAGGCTTTGTTTGGGGTCTATTTAGGTTTGGTTTAAGGTGAAATTTGGGTTTCGTCGGGGTTTCTGTAGGGTTTGTTTTAGGGTTTATGTGGTCTCGGTTCGGGGTTTCTGGATGCTTGGTTTGGGGTTTCTTTGAATTATTGTTTCGTCAGGGTTTGTTTTGGGGTTGGTTTAGGGTTTGTTTTAGCGCTGGTTTGGGGTTTACTTAGGGTTGGCTTAGGGTTTATTCAAGGTCGGTTTAGGGTTTATTTAGGGTTAGTTTAGGATTTGTTTAGGTTTCGTTTAGGATTATTTAGGGGCTGGTTTAGGATATATTTCGGGTTGGTTTAGGGTTTCTTTGGGGTTGGTTGAGGGTTAATAAGGGTTTCGTCAGGATTTGTTTTCAAAATGGTTTAGGGTTTATTTAGGGTTGGTTTAGGGTTAATGTGGGGTTTTTGTCAGGGTTTGCGTGAGGGTTGGTGTAGGCTTTGGTTAGTGTTGGCTTGGGGTTTCTTTAGGGCTGAGTTAAAATTTCTTGAGGGACTCTTTGTTGTTGACGTTCTGTTTTTCCATGTTCCCATGGGTTCCTTGATAGATAGATGGATAGATAGATAGATCGATCGATAGATAGATAGATATAAAGATAGGTAGATAGATAGATAGATAGATAGATAGATAGAGAGGTAGGTAGATAGATAGATAGATAGATAGATAGAGAGAGAGAGATAGATAGATAGAAAGGCAGATAGATAGATAGATAGATAGATAGATAGATAGATAGATAGATTTGAAGATACTACAAGATAAGGTAAGACAAGGCAAAGCAAGACAGATAGATTAGATTAGATTAGATTAGAATAGATTAGATTAGATTAGACAGATTAGATAGATAGATAGATAGATAGATAGATAGATAGATGGACAGATAGATAGGTAGGTAGATAGATAGATAGATAGATAGATAGGTAGACACAGATAGATAGATAGATAGATAGATAGATGGATGGATAGATAGATAGAGAGATAAAAAGTTAGATAGAAAGAAAGAAAGAAAGATAGATAGATAGAAGTTAGTTAGTTAGATAGATAGATAGATAGATAGATGGATAGATATATGGATAGATCGATAGATAGATAGATAGATTAGCTAGAGAGATTAGATAGGTTGGATAGATTCGATAGCTTAGATACTGTAGAATAGATAGAATAGATAAAATGGATAAAAAACGGATAGATTAGATAGACTAGATAGAATAGATAGAATAGATAGAATAGACAGATAGAATAGATAGAATAGATAGAATAGACAGAATAGACAGAATAGATAGAAGAGATAGAATAGAATAGAATAGAAAAGAAAAGAAAAGAATTCATAGATAGAAGGATAGAAAGGACAGGAAAGGACAGGACAGCATAGGACAGGATAGAAAGGGGAAGATAGGATAGATAGGATAGATAGGAAAGGAAAGGATAGATGGGATAGGGTAGGATAGATAGGATAGATAGATAGATAGATGGATAGATAGATAGATAGATGGATGGAAAGAAAGAAAGAAAGATAGATAGATAGGTAGGTAGGTAGATAGATATATAGATAGGTAGATAGATAGATAGATAGACAGGTAGATAGATAGATTGATAGATAGATAGATAGAGCGATAGATAGATAGATAGAAAGGTAGAAAGGTAGGTCGATAGATCGATAGATCGATAGATGGATAGATAGATAGATAGATCGATAGATAGATAGATAGATAGATAGATTTGAAGATACTATAAGATAAGGTAAGACAAGACAAGACAGACAGATAGATAAATAGATAGATAGACAGATAGATAGATAGATAGATGATAAAAAGTTACATAGAGAGAAAGAAAGAAAGAAATAAAGAAAGAAAGAAAGAAATAAAGAAATAAAGAAAGAAAGAACGATAGATAGATAGATAGATAGAGAGAGAGAGATAGATAGATAGATAGATAGATAGATAGAGAGAGAGAGAGATATTGATAGAAAGAAAGAAAGAAGGAAAGATAGATAGATAGGTAGATAGATAGATAGGTAGATAAATACATAGAAAGATAGTATAGATAGGATCGGTAGGATGGATAGGATCGATAGGATAGATAGGATGAACAGGATAGATAGGATAGATAGGATAGATAGGATAGATAGGATAGATAGGATAGTTAGGATAGATAGGATAGATAGGAGTATAGGAAGATAGGGTAGATAGATGGAAAAGATAGACTAGATAGAATGGAATGGAGTGGAATAGAATAGATAGGAAGATAGGAAGATAGGATAGATAGATAGAAAAGATAGACTAGATAGAATGGAATGGAATGGAATAGAATAGATAGGAAGATAGGAAGATTGGATAGATAGATAGAATAGATAGAATAGATAGAATAGATAGAATAGATAGAATAGAATGGAATAGAAAAGAATGGAATGGAATGGAATAGAACAGATAGGAAGATACGAAGATAGGATAGATAGATAGAAAAGATAGAATAGATAGAATAGAATGGAATGGAATGGAATGGAATAGATAGGAAGATAGGAAGATAGGATAGACAGATAGAATAGATAGAATAGATAGAATAGATAGAATAGAATGGAATGGAATAGAATAGAAAGGATAGATAGGATCGATAGGATAGATAGATAGAATAGATAGAATAGATAGAATAGAATGGAATGGAATGGAATGGAACGGAATAGATAGGATAGATAGGATCAATAGGATAGATAGATAGAATAGATAGAATAGATCGAATAGAATGGAATGGAATGGAATGGAATGGAACGGAATGGAATAGATAGGAAGATAGGATAGATAGATAAAATAGTTAGAATAGGTAGAATAGAATAGGATAGAATAGAATAGAATGGATTGGAATGGAATAGATGACAGTCGAATCGACGGTTGGGAAGGGGGGACATGGAATCTGTGTCTTGGTTGCCTCGAGGCTCAAAGCCAGCCAGGGGGCGTCATGCCTCCCCACTGTAATAAAGTCCAAACAGAAGTTTGCACAAGAGGGGGACACCTGGTGCCTGGGGTGTTCCTCTCTCAACACATGTCTGCTGCCAGACTTTGCAGGGCCTTCTCTAACCTCGACCATTCCTTGGCAAGTACCCCTGCTGGCTCATCAGGCCGTGCAGTCAGGACATCAGCCAAGGCAAGAGCTGAGAGGCCCGTGAGCTCCCGATCCCGTCGGAGGGACCACAGGCCACCTTTGCCCACATCGCCGGCGCGCCCAGCGGAGCTTGAGCGCCGCGCTGAACGGGACAAGGACAGCGACAGCGAGGAGGAGTGCGAGTTCGACGAAGAAGAGGAGGAGGAAGACGATCTGCCCATCACCGAGGTCAAGAAAGAGTTCAAGGGCTCCGACAGGCCACCCGAGCCGGATACTCCTCCGCCGGGCTCCTCCGCCGGGATACCCTGCCAGTGAGCCGCCACCGCGAGAGGCACATCGAGACAAGCATCGCAGTGAGGACAAGCGCAAGCACAGGTCTACGAAGGGCTCGACTGGAAAGAGACGAAAGAGAGGAGGTACGAAGCACCAAAGAAGGTATAAGGATCTGGAAGATCCGCTGCGCCGGAGCCATCGGAGACTCCGAGCGGACCAGCTGGAACTTGCCCTCTCCTTGCAGGAGGGCTTGGAGAGGAGATATTAGAGTACCCCATTGCTGTCAATCGACTTGCAATGGAGGCCGCAGAAGAGGTAGAAGGACGCCCTCCTTCCCCCATGCCGGGAGACGAGACGAGGGGTATGTCGACAGGATCAGCCACGCCGCGACTACGATGTGGAGGAGGCCGCGCTGTGGCGCCACCGCCGCCTCCCAGTAGGGTCTGTCCTATAGAGTTCGACCCGATGGGCGAGGATGGCAGCAAGCCGGAAGGTCTAGCCGCCTTTCTCATCGCTGGAGTTTCCTCCGAAGAAGATGGGATCTGGCTATAGACCTACCCAGGCTCTTCTGGAGGATCTTGCAAACAGATGGAGCAGAAGGGCTGGCACCTCAGGGAATTCAGGTGGTTCCCAGCGCTCAATACGGGTTCGAGACGGCCCCAACTTGGAAGTTGCGGCGGCGACGGCAACAAAGGAGAAAAAGAAGGAAAGATCCACTGCGGTTGGCCCAAAGGAGAGCGAGACCGAAAAGCGCCTCTCGGCTCTGAGGGGTCGAAGCCCGCGGGTTTCCTTTGCCGATCCGCCGGGAAGACCCAGATCTATGGACCCGGCCGATACCGGTCGCACTGGATACCGGGATGGGGCATTGAGAAGGCTTGGGGCCAGATCTGCAGAGCCAGGCCAGCAACTGGCTGTGTGGGGCAAGGACAAGGTCAAGGTCGAGACAATAGACTTCACTCGAGACAGAGATCGGTCGGTCCCAATCCGGCGGCGGCAAGAAGAGGCCGAAGATGGGCGAAGCGCCGGCTCAGGCAGCCGTGTCGCAACAGAAGGTCAATCAGAAGCGCGAGAGGAGCCGCAGTAAGAAAAGGAAGGAAAAGAGGAAAGGAAGGAAGAGGAGCCGCAGCAGCGAGGACGACTCGGAGGAGAGTACATCTTCGAGCGGGAGCAGCTCGCTGCTGCCACCGCTGAAGGGGCGCTCTATGAAACAACCGGGATCCGTCCTGAAGATGCTGGAGGAGCAGGCATTCGAGTTTCTGACCAAGGACGGGATCATGGACGCGGAGGTCGAAGCTGGTCACTTACCAGCTGGCCATCCGACCTACTTCCCTTGACCCCAGGGGGCGAGACTCGAAGGAGCTGGCATTGCTCTGCCGCGCCCTCGATCTGTTGAGAGAGGGAAAACTCGACGGCCTGGGCGACATGCTGGCAGTGGAGACGGCCACATGGCAAGGGTGGCCTGTGCACGCCATCTGGAGATCTGCACAGAAGAGGAAGGCTCTACGCCGGCCCACATCCTTCTGGTGGCGCAGCGCCACGGGAAACAGGTAGAGAAAGCAGGAGGAAAGGGCTCTTGGGGGCGCTCACAAGGATAGTCAAGCGAGTGGTATTCGGAGCCCAGGCCCAAGGGCAAGGGCCACACCCAAAAGGAAAAGGAAAGAAGGGAAAGCCAAAAGGCAAAGGAGCAAAGAATGGGGCCCTGGATGGGGCCCTGGAGCTCGCCAGGAGAAAAGCCAAAAGGGAAGAAGGCAGAGGCAGCTGCGTGAGGGGCAAGAAGAGGAGATCTCTTGGTGCCAATTTTGAAGGCGACATTGGGCTGGCCTGCAATGCCCCTGCCCCGTTTTCAAGGGGTGGCAGGGCATGCCGCCAGAGAAGATCAGTGCATGCTGAGGGGACCCTCGCGCTGTCCACACATAAGGCCTTGGAGGCGGGAGCACCGATGAGCTCCTGCCAATCGGCCTCTTCAGCCGCGAAGCCGCCATGCGGTGACTATGAATTCGATGGTGCGGGGTCCCTTGAAGGATTGCGCTCCCCGCTGGCAACCGCTGGCACGAAGTTAAATTGCTGTGCGGTGGGCATGAGACTGCGGGTGTGGAGACCCTTGATGCCTGGCGGTATACACTGCAGGGCACTACGACGAGTACAGGTGCTGAGGCAGCCTGGCCCCCTGCACCTGAAAGCTATGAGGGTTGGCTTGGTCTTTTGACGGAGGCGAAGGACATGAGGCAATTTGGTATCGTGCTGGCTGCTGGCATGGGGCTACAAACGACGAGGTCACATGCTTTTTGGCGTGAATGGTGCCGAGCCTCAGCAGTCCCCGTCTAGGGCTGCGCGCACCGGGGAACTGTTTCCCCTGCCAGTGGCCTGGCCTCCGAATTTCTCCGATGTGTGGCAGCAAAAAGCTGCTGTCAGTTGTACAGTTTTTTCGACTGAGTGCTGGGCAGCATGTGCCTGTGCCGCCCTGAACTCACTCTATGGTTTCAAGCAGTGTGAAACATCACGCAAACCGGGAAAAGTGCATGTGGCAGCTCTTGAGGGGCTGCGGGACAGAATCAGTAGGTTTTTGATAGGTGACACTTCTAGGAATTTTTCTTTTGAAGATGTGGTCAAAGACCGAAAGGAAAAACGGGTGAGCTACACCGGAGAAGAAGTTTCTAGACCTCTTAGTTTGAGTACAGCCCAAATTGAAAAGAGCTTCCCCCCAATAGGGCATGGAGGCACCATACGGGGAACTAAATTTTCAAAAGGTAGGACAAGGTACCTAATGGAGAACCCGCTGGAGAACCTCATACCCGTGCGGGAAAGGGCCGCTGGAACAATGCAAGCCAAGGTACATATCCAACAAGGGGAAGAGCTGGCTGTTTTTAAACTGTTGGAAACGAGGGGAGTCATCACTTGGATCCCGGCGGCAGAAGTTTTTGCAGATGCCTCGGGCGAATGCCTCAATGGAATGTTTGGGGTTTTGAAGCTTGGTAGATTTACAGAAACCGGGTTACCGATACTACGGGTAATTATGAATTTGGTCCCTGCAAATCGATTGCTTGAGGTGGTACAGGGAGACGTGCATCTTCTACCTCATGGCGCCGCGTGGATCCCCGTCATCGTCAACGGCGGGAAAGAATTGAGGTTGTCGCAGGCTGACATGGCCGCTGCGTTCTACCTCTTTGCCATACCTGCGGCCTGGTACCGGCTCATGGCATTCAACTTTCAGGTGGATGGCGAGGAGGTAGGGAAGACCTCGGGCTGCCAGCAGCGGCCTGCCCGAAGTACTCCCAATGGGATGGAACAGCTCCGTCGGCATTATGCAGCAGCTGTCCAGGGAACTGCTGCTTACAAAGGGGATGCCCGCGGAACTGGAGCACAAGGGGCGCCCTGCTGCAGCGTGGTTCGTGCGCTCAGTGGCGGACGCTACGCCCTCGAGGAGTTTTTGGCAAGTCTATCTGGATAACTTTACGGTGGCGGAGCATGTTCAGGACGAGCACTACCGGCATGACATCAGGTTACAAGAGGTGGCAATGAAGGCGTGGTGCCCCGCTGGTGTTCTCGCTGCGGAGGACAAACAGGTGCTTGGAGCCGAGACAGCGAACTCGGGGTGCGGTTGGATGGCTTTGCTCGCCTGCTTCCGTACCTTGAAGCCCAGCACGGCACAGCTTATACAACCTCGATGAGGTCATCAGCGATTGGATTAAATGGCAATGGGCCCGTGGCGAACCCCTAGGGTTGATCGCTGACGGACTTTCGGCCTTCATTTTTTCTGGCCCAAAGTGAAGGGCAAACTTCGGGAGCCTTGGAGGGTGTTCAAAAGCTGGCGCCGGGTTGAAACGCCCGCCCGTGCGCCCCGGCTCACACAGCAGCTGGCCCGAGCCTTTATTGCGAGAGCGGTCGAGCAAAATGATGTTTTGCTGGCTACAATGGTGGCCTTGGGATTTCACGGCCTCCTACGTACAGGGGAACCGCTAAGCTTCCGATACAAGGACATTGAGTTCAACAGGGATTGTCGTGTCCTATGTCTGCACCAGTCCAAGACAGGCTTGCGGACCGGGGCGCAGGAAGCGGTCGCAATTCGTGACTCGCTTACATTGCAGCTGCTGGAGACACAGGTCTCCCTGCGGCATCCCTATCCAGGTGATCCGCTTTGGCCACGTTCCGCCCAATCCTTTAGAGAGGCCTTCAAACAGTTTTGCAAGTGGTTTCAGGTGGACTCCCTGGCTTTCAAGCCCTACTCTCTCCGCCGCGGAGGAGCGACGTGGCTCTTGCAATCTGGCGCGCCCCTAGAGTCTAGAGACGATACTTGTGAGAGGTAGATGGAGGAGCGTGGCTGTGGCCGACGGATTAGCTCAGCTACCGCAACTCCGGACCTCCGTTATCATCCAAACAAACATATCCAAATGGGCTGATAAAACTCCCACAACGGCCTTTAGGCCATGACAGGGGTCGTGGAACCCAACCCTTGCTGGCTTGTGCAGCCGTGCACAGTGAAGGGAGCGGTCAAAGACCTTCCCATTAGGTTTTGCCGTCTCCATGGAGCTGGCTCATCATTTCGTCCCATACCATTTGGGGTGTATGAGCAGCCTCCTTAATTCCTGCCTTACCATTAGGCAGTGAGTCTTTGATGTAAAATAAAATGGAAGTGCTGTCTGGAAATTTGACGGCAAGGTTCAGATAGCTTACGGCTCGGCACAGGTGAAAAGTTCTCGAGTCCCTGACAGTCGTATCGATGGTTGGGAAGAGGGGACATGGAATTCTGTCTTGGTTGCCTCTAGGCTCAAAGCCAGCCCCTCCCAGAGGAACCCAACCCTTGCTGGCTTGTGCGGCCGTGCGCAGGGTGACAGTGAAGGGAGCGGTCAAAGACTTTCCCATTAGGTTTTACCGTCTCCATGGAGCTGGCTCAACATGTCGTCCCATACCATTTGGGGTGTATGAGCAGTCTCCTTAATTCCTGCCTTGCCATTAGGCAGTGAGTCTTTGATGTAAAATAAAATAGAAGTGCTGTCTGGAAACTTGACAGCAAGGTTCAGATAGCCTACGGCTCGGCACAGATGAAAAGTTCTCGAGTCCCATAGATAGGAAGATAGGAAGATAGGATAGATAAATAGATAGAATAGAATGGAATGGAATAGATAGGAAGATAGGAAGATAGGTTAGATAGATAGAATAGATAGAATAGATAGAATAGATAGAATAGAATGGAATGGAACGGAATGGAACGGAATGGAATGGAATAGAAAGGAAAGATGCAGATAAATCGGCTTTCCGTTTTCCTCGTGTTGCTGACTTTCTGTCTCCCGTTCATGGTCCCCTTGCATTCTGTGCTAGTGTGCGCCGGTGACTGACTTTGTCCTATGGGGTTCCTGACCCGGACGTTTGGGGCGACTGACTCGGGTGACTGACTCTGTCTTTGTCCTTCGATCCAGGCTTGACGCTTCAGAAAACGAACTTACTGATGAGGCTGGCTGAGGGATGCAAAATGGAGCAAACTGCAAAATCCTGCAGATTCCAAACCACATGGACCATGGTCCCACTTGCACAACTTGTTGCCTGACGTGAAACATCATCTCATGTCCCTCTAATTGGAAACCAGGCTGGAACGCGTCTCATCTCTGGCCTGCAAAGAATCAGGCACACCCGCGAAGGCGCCATGAGCATCAACGCAAAGCAAGACAGAGCAATGCCAGTGCGATTGTTTTCTTAACACGCATACTGTATGCATACTTACACTAGTGCGGTGTTTTTGCAGGACCTTTTCGTTTGCGAGTACTCAAACTGCACAAGAACAAGGCTTGCATGACCGTTGGGTCCAGGTTCTTTGGATCTGTTTCTTAAGCCTCACAGCACAGCCAAGCTGAATTCATTGCCACTCTTCCAGGGCCTTCCAGGGCCTTTCAGGGCCTTCAAGGGCCTTCCCCAGCGGTGCGCTGTTTTTACCAGGTTGGAGATGACACCTGCGCAGAGCTTGCGAGCTTGGTGTGGCATCAAGCGAAAGCTGTGGAGGCCCCTTGGAAGTGGAACATGTGCTAATTCATGTGCTATGTTGCTTGGCCATTGACAGTAAACCAACAAACCTGTGGCAAACCGGACAAAGTACATGGCAGACAAAGTGCAAACCACATTCGAACAAGGCAGCATGGTTTAAACTGTTTAGACAGATTGACCATCCCCGTGTCCAGGAGATTCACCTTTCGCACAATGAGGTGCAGCAAAGGGGCTATGTGCTCAGACTGGTGAGATCCTTCAAAAGCTGACGTGAGACTCGACTGAGACTCGACTGAGGCCTAATGGCTAATGGGAATATCCAATGAGAGTAATGGGAGTGATTCAGAGAAATTTGAATGATCAAGGTTTGACTGCCATTCTAGCTGCGTTGGCGATGCACCCAGAAAAGGCGCCAAGACTATCCAAACTTGTGATGTCATGTGTGTCCCCGGTACGTCGCAAGGATGCACATAGGAAGGAACCCAAAGTCAAGAGACATTCCACTTGAGGATGAGTCAAGGTGGTCAGTATGCTATGTGATACTGTGCGGTGATTCATACTGAATCAAATCGAGTCAACATTGAGTTCGGTGAATCAGCAAGAAAGCATCGCTTGCACAGTATTATTTTTGCAATGGCTTGAAGCCACTCCCTCCAATCAGAGCAAAGGGTAAGGAACTTTTGGAATCGTGGTGATTTTGTTTCAGAGGGCGTGGGTCTTTGAATGTTTGAGAGGCATATCCACGAGAGACGCCGTGTGAGGTCAACATCTCAGAGGGATGTCAAACCTTTTGTGACGCATTCCAGAGATTGTTTGCGAGACTTATTTGAAAACAAATCGTACATCCCTGTTGTCTTCACAGAGGATGTACCATGCTGGGTACGGTTGGAGCACAACCGCGTAGGCTTCTGAGAACCCAAACTGCAGGGAGTGTCTTGCAGACTGTCGAAAGGTGTCTCACATGTGGAAGGGACTGGACGGGCTTTGGAAGGTATCTCACGTTGAGTACGTCCTGGCTTTGTTGCAACAGGCTTTGAGGGCTGTTGTCGCGTCCGCATTCACACGCTTACGCAACTGCCTGCTCAGTCACACAGAACTTCAAGAGTCTTCAAGCTATATCGGCAATAACTCCCTTTAAAGCATGGTGATTGAATTGGTGTGTCGTTCAAAATGTTCAGAATGCAAAATTGAATGGGCCTGAAAACCTTGAAAGTCCCATGGCAGGAGCCCGTGAAGCTGCAATTCTGCATGGCACCTCGGAGAGAGAAGGGACCAAGCTGCACATCATTCAGATGCCAGGCCGCTGAGATTCAGAAGATTTCAATCTGTGCACAAAGTTCGCAATTCTAAAGATATCTAAAAGAATCTAAAGATTTCTAGAGATTCAAAATCTGAAGTATCTGTAGTGACACAGTCATGTTTTGGACAAGGCATCCGACAATATTGCACATGCTCACCTCTACTGTGTCGACAAGCAGGAAAGGATTTGAGCTGCGTGAGCTGCCTGATGCTTGAATGTTGTGTGAGTTACCTGCGACCTCTGACGCCAGGAAAGTGAGCCAGAAACGCGGAAGCATGCTGAGGCCATGGAAATCTTGAACAGCACCGGGGAGAGAGGGAGAGAGAGAGAGAGAGAGAGAGAGAGGGAGAAAGGGAGAAAGAAAGAAAGAGAGAAAGAAGCTTCTCTTCGCCCTGCTTCACGCCTTGCAGAATTGTTCGCCTGCAGATATTTTTTTCCCAGTTTGGGCCTGATCTTGGAGGCGGTCGTGCAGAGTGTCATCCGCCAGCTGCAAGGCGAACGGTGCAAGGACACCGTGAGTGACTCTGCTGACGCACACCATGAAGCTGTGGAAGCTGCCGAGTTCAGCGATGCTGCGCCCTGTAGATTTGAGGATCTCAAGGTGGGGGAGCCAGAACTACAAGAGCTACACGACACTCTTGAAATATTTTGGGAATGTTGTTTTGCACTTTATCTTACAAAGTTTTTTGTATGGTTGCATGCATTAGCCAGTACGCATTGAGAAAGGTTACTCCATTTACAGATCAAAATATAGGCCCCCAGAGCGGGCATCCACCATATGATATGTTTTTTCTTATCTGCGTCTTCTTCGTGTTTTCTGGGGTTTGGGGTCTTGTGAAGAAGAACAACTAGTCCCAATCAGAACACAAGTCTCAAGAGCCGACTCCTGCAAACTTATCTCATCCAGCAACCTTTTCAGAAAATAAATCTTAAGAATTGAACCAGTGGCCAAATCATGCTTTGACAATATATATTTTTCAATCCATTTCTTTCTCGACCTTTTAGTGTAAACATGTTTTTTTGCCATTTACATTATGAGCAGCTTCATTTTCTCCAATTCCACCCTTTTACTCAAAATACAAAAAAGCACATCCCTCATTAGGCTAATATATATAAGACATGTCACTATTCTTGATTTTTGAATACCCTTGTCTTGTGAGCTCAACACTCTATTTTGCATCAGTACCTGACTATTCCTGACAGTTCCTCCTCATTCCGACGTATCTCCATCATTGGATTTCCTTCCTTCTGAAGGAGGTAATTGAAGGACACTTCTGAACTAGTGGCAAATACAATCTTGCACATAATGACAAGTCCAGCTGACTACTCGCAACTGACAGTATGCCGCAGACCAATCTCACAAGTCAATCCACAAACTCACTACGGACTTTCTAACTCACTCATTCACGCAGCCAGTCAGGCAATATCACCAGAATGGAGTGCTCATTCAAAGCAGAAATGACGCAACAAGTACAGCACGTGTTGCGAAGATAGGCGAATACAAGGAAGCCTTGCACGTGTGAACAAAATCGCACTCCGATGGGTGAGATGTTCCAAAGGATAGCTCTGTTCTGTATTGCATTGGAACACCTGAAAAAGTTGCAGACTGTTGTCCTCACAAGCGCAACATGTGTTTCATGATGCACCGGTCCACACAGGTGCTTCACGAAATGTTTTCCGTTCACGCGTGTGCAAAGACCTCGCTGGCTTGGACTCTGCTACTTAGTGCTGCTGCTACTTAGCGCTGCAGCTACTTAGTGCTGGAGCTGCTGCTGCTGCTGCTGTTACGACTAAGGCAGAACCTTTGTTTTTCTCATGTCAAAACTAATCTCGCACACCTATTGATAACCCCCTCACCAAAACCAGGATGTTTGCAGGTGTTTAGTTGTAGGGTGAAAGAATTCATCCTACACCTACTATCCACTGTCGTCATCACTTCTAAAGTTGCGAGGATCATGGCAATGAAGACAGATTTCTTTTGCCAGGCGCATTTCGAACAGCAATAATAATGCGAGGTAGTTGAAGCATCAGCGTAAACGCACAAAGTCAATGTATTAGGCTGCAGCACAAGCGCACAAACATGTAAAGACATGTAAAGGTATGTAAACACAGACATACGACAGTTTGCATCCCATAGAGGATGAATGCCTTGTCCGGAACTCTTTTGTACTTTGAGACATTTTGAGACATTTTGAGACTTCAATTTCTAGGGCAGTTTGAGTGGTTCGCCCAGGTTGATGCAACCGGCGCTGGATTGGAACTTACCCCAGATCCGTATGGTTTCCTCATCGAGACGGTGTTTGAAACACCAGGTCAGAAGCCAGGAACTGAGGCAAACGGTGCGCATTACGGTGCGCCTTATGGTGCGCCAATGTGAGACTAACAGAGACATATAGAATCAATTAGAATCATATAGGGTCATCCTGTTTTGTTTAAATAGTTTCTGAAATTCGTTACTATCAGATTCTATCAGATTCTATCAACTTGATATGGTCAACCCGTGAGAACCTAGGCTCAATGCAGGTGAGGTCATACTGGAGATTGATGGGGTACAGCAGCCAACTCAGCTGCAGCGGACAATTATTTTTTTGATCGTTCTCCCCAGCGCATGCACCGGACCAAACCCATCTTTCCGTGTGATTGTAAAGCTCGCACAGCTGCTTAGCTTTTGGAGCACAGAATGAAACTGCGAGGCTTTGGGGAGACTTAGATGAAGACAGACTTTCAGATGCAAAGGGCTCAGACAATGACGAGGGACTTTCGCTGCTCCTATTCTCATTTGTGCTTCCGGCGTGTTTTTCTTTTGCGATTGATTAGTGTATTGAGGATGTGTTTCAAACTTTTTCGCACAGTCAATGTATCAGTACCTTGTCGTATCTCGTCGTACCTTGTCACGCCCTTTCAATGCTCTTAGCACGGTTGCAGTCTGGACTTCACCAGCCGCGTCGCACGGGGACTTTTTGCCTGCAGTATGAGTGCAGGCATCCGAACATATATATATATATATATTACGAAAGCCAGCCAAAGGCTGAGCGAAGTTGTTCCATGCGAACGAAGTGAGATTAGGGGGTGTGGGGGGTAGGGTTGACGTGTGGTGGTCGGCCAATCCTTCAGGGTGCTGCGGAGTAGGGTGTGTTTTTTGTCCGTTTTACCGTGTTTTTATGTAGCATGCGGCAAATGGGTGACGGTGGGTATCGATTCCCCCCTGGTCCGCTCGGTTGGGGTCTGGGTTTGAGGGGGCTGCACAGTTCTATGGCCGGTTTTGGGAGAGGGTACTTCATCGGATAGTGAGGTTGAACTGATTGCAGTTGGCGATGCGAGACGGGCAGAACATGTTTTTTGACTGGCGAGCTGAGCATGATAAACATGTGCACCTTCGGACTGTAACGGGGCCATGCTGTCCATGTGAAGTAATTCGTCGATATGTGGTGTTCGTGCCGGGTTTGGGAGATTGTGCTTGGGTTTTTTTTCTTTCTTTCAGGTTTGTGGACCGCGTGAGTTTGGAGGTGGAGTGTATTTCTTCAGGAAGTTAGCTTTTGCTTGCATGTGGTGGTGCCGCATTCAATGGTGCTGACTATTACGAAAGCCAGCTAAAGGCTGCCACCGATTTCACAGATGTTTGTTGAGGCATTCATGTAACTGGTGAGGGAGTGTATGTTATTTATTTTGCACGTTGGACCTGGCATGTTTGTTTCTTTTGTTTCTCTTCACCAGCTTGCAAGAGCAAGACACCACATTTTGTGTGTCATTCAGCCAAGAGGACAAATGTAAAACACACACGCATGCTATATATATATACATAGCACGCATATATATATATATATATAATATAATATATATATTATATATATAATATATATAATACATATATATATATATATGGTAAGCGTCCCCTCTGGGGCCTACCTTTTGGTATGTCAATGATACTATCTGACTTATTGAGCCCTAATTGATAGATAAAAAATGTAACAACACACTGTAAAATACAGTGAATAATGACATATTTGATATTTCCTGCACACATGCATTCTAAAGTTAAAGCAATAAATTTGCAAAAAATGGCGGCCGGATTTAGATCAACAAGAAGCAAGTCCAGAAAAGTACCAAGAATAGAAGTACAGCAAAAACACTCCAAAAAACGGTATTCTGAGTGAGACATATGGGGAAAAATGCCATCTGAAAACATCAAAAAACCGTGGAAAAACAAAAACAAAACAAACAAACACAAAGACAAAAAAAACACAAAAAAACCAACCTCATTGAAGATCCTACAATCCTCATGTTTTTTTTTGGGTTTTTGGAAAGACTAATCGGTCTGATCTGGTTTCTTTCTATAGTACACCTCGCATCGGTCTGAAGCCTTTTCTGTCTTCAGCATTCCCAATTCTGCCTCCGCATTCTCGCAAGTGGCCATGCAATTGCTTGCTCGCCAAGCCCAAGTGCTATGGTGATGCAGAGTCACTTGACAATAGAAAACCTAGCGTCAACTGTGATTGCCACCTTTCATACCGCAGATGTTGAACTGTATATAGAAGCCGTGGCAAAGCCTTCCCAACATCGTTTGTCTTCCCCTGTGCCTCTTGCTTTGTGGCGCTCTCAAGGACAGAGGTGGATGCCATGGACCTGGAGTATGCGCATCTCGGCACCACGAATAACTTACACACACACACATACCTTGTCTCATGGAATGCTTGGTTTCATACAGCATATCCCCATGATGTGGTCTTGACAGAAACCTTGGCCGGTAACGCTTGCGTGCTTGAAGCCATCAGGTCTGGCAGTGAAACCCCCGTGGACGAGGACTTCGGTAGCTTGGACGAAGACTTTGGCATCTTGCGCATGATGCCCCAAACTCCCTCTGAGCACCGTGGCTCAAAAATTTCATGTCTGTGGTCTGAATGTAATACAGAATTGGAAGCGTCACACAAATGTTGTCGTTGCAACTCAGCTTACTGTTTCTCATTCTTGCCACCCTTCACGTCCTTAGGTCCGACAAAGAGGTGTGGATGGAGGTTGCTGAGCTACTCCATGTCATGCCCGTTAGGCCACCCAGTTTGTACAGCATCTGGCACCTGGATGGATCGCCAGAAACGCCACCAGAAGCGTTTTTGGGTGCGGCCACTCCCTACGACGTGGATATGGGAGATTTGCCTTCGGCGCCGTGCCCAGTACCTCGCACACCGCCTGAGCATTGCGTTGGTGGTGGGGAGGCGCCTGACATACTAGCTGCCAAAGGTGAAAAATGAATGAAGACAGCTGGAAGTGCAGTGTCTGTGTCATAGTGCTTGCATGCATTGCATTGCACACTGCTTTTGTATCTGCTCAACATATACATGCACTGAGCCAAATATTAATCATTAATCACATTGTCTCACGCAATCCTTCTGTATTTGAAGGAAGCAAACAGTCAAACAAATTACACAATGTTGCGCAACCTCTGAAAAAGAACTTCTACGTATTACATATTTGCTTCAAAAATCTCCTAGTCTCATAGAAAGCTGTACATCATGATACATCAGGATGGACACTGGCATCCCGTGGTCTCAGACACCACCCTGTATATCAAGGAACGCACCATGTTATACCAGCATGGACACATGTAAAACACACAAAAAGTAGGCCGCAGAGGGGGCGGTGAACATATGTATTTAAAAACATTTATATATATATATATGCATCTTTTTATTGCATATCTGTTTTGCCGTATGCACTACCTATCAGTATACACATACATAAATATACTCCTCTTCTTCTTCTTCTTGTATTGTGACGAACTTACTTACAGAATCTTAAACATGCATGAAATATTGCACTCACTACACACATTATACACACATGTAGTGCGAGTCATGCGAGTAGTGCAGTTTGAGCTCAGGCCTTCGGCAGCCGCTTTGCTGATGGGGCTCGTATCAGAGTGGCTCCAGCGGATGCAGTTCGAGGTCGTCCTCTGTGGCAGCCCCTCAGCGGATGTCAGGTAAGGCTTCAAAGGTCTGGATCTTTGATGATGTTTGGAGATTTCTGGAAATCAGCTGAAATCAGCTGAAACTGTTTGGCAAGACTTGACTCCCCGACGGATCCCTGACCCAACAATTTCGGAATTTTTAAGGCCTTTAACCATACCTGGTCCTGGTTTGTCCTTGCGATGCGAAGCTGTGTCAAGTTCGTTGTGCCGGGGACTTAGGGCCAAATGGATGCTAGTCACGTCCTGTACACGTGACAATCTGTTACAAGGTGAAGATCTGAAGATTATGGGAAAGCAATGTGGTGTGAAGGCAGAGCTGGAGGAGAGGGGAGAGGGTGCAGGGAAGGACGGGGAGCCTGAAACTGCTGAGATTGGGAAGGATTGGATGTGGAGCCTGTGAATGCTTCGTCAAAGCTGTAGGTGTTGAATGAGTGAGTATGGCGGCAATTTGCAGCGTTGATGCCAAGGACGGTGGCGCATGGCTTCGAGGACCGCCTCAGAACCAACGTTGCTCAGCAACAGCAGAACTCACTTCGGCAAGTTTTGCCAAAGAAATGTTTTTGTTGCACAAGAATGGGTTTGTCACGACCGTGGTTGCCTTTTCAAAAGCTGAGGGTGGGCTGCAGACGAGTTGCCAAGGTACCGCGTGTTTTTTTGAGAATATGCCATGATATGTTATTCATATGAAGGAATGAGAGGATGGATCCTGTGAATTTACGACCGTACCACTCCAAGCAAGGTCTCACAAGGAGCAAGACATGCACGTTGTCACAGGCTCATGGCTTTCTACTTTCCAGAAGCATCCATCCCGTGGAGGACATAGTCTTGCAGCATGTTGTAGCAGTTGCAAGATGTTTTAAGATGTTGCAAACCATGCGGATGCGATTTTCTGTGGGAGTAAAAACTTCTCTGCGCGATTTACCAGTATGCCCTGCGTAGTCTGGAAATCTTCAGGTTTCCGTCCTGTCAATGGCGTGGTGATGCGGAAGATAGTTGTATCGCCACGCCTCCAATGGAGGAGGGATTTTCCGTGCATGTTCAATGATTTTCAATTGTTTTCACTGGGTTTCCTTTGTTCTTGCAACCTTTGACATTGCAGAGGAAACTGCAACTGGAGCCAAAGGCTGGACACATAGTCTAATCACAATATCTCGCAATCTCTAAACTCTAACCTTTTTTCCAAAAGGAGAATATTTGCATTGCTAATTTGACCCCAAAAGTGTCAGATTGAGGCGATTGAGGCGTAAAGACAAACCCCCATCAATGTCCTGGAGATTAGCAGATCTTTCTGGTAGCAGAGCTTCCTGGTTAGTTGGATGTCAACTCGGCCGTGTGAGGCAGTGAAAGTGCCGGCTTTTCAGAGCTCACTAGTTGGGAGGAAGCATTACGTGGACAGTGCAATCCTTGGATCAGAACATCAGAACTTTACCCAATCAGTGCAATCTCAAGTTAATACGCAAACAGCTTTTTGACAAAACATAAAAGACATCAGGTCCTTTTCCTTTAAAATGTATGTACTGATATACTCTATTTATCTCCATTTACAGTACGCTTCCTTGCTCTTCCTTTCTTCCCAATCATCCCAATCCTTTCTGTCAAACAGGTGGCGCGAGGACGATGATTTGTTTGACGAAGACTTGCCTGTGGAGCCCCTTGAGGCGTTCCGGGACTTGTGCAGCTCAAGGGCCTGACTTTGGTCATTTCATGTCATTTCCCACCAAGTATACTACATACTGTAAGTCTTACTGTAAGTATTTGTAAGTATCCCATACTATATGTATATATATAATATTTAGTTATACTTATTTAATTCAAGTCTGTACTGTACTACAGTGGAAATCTAGAGTGCTTATATTCAGAGTCTGCGGTGCTGTGGCGAATTCTGCCGAGAAAGAATTGTACGGCAGTACGGGGTGATTTCCACGACGCGTGCATGTCATGTGTTTTCCTGCGTTTGTGCGAGCGAACTCAAATGGTTTTTTCTGGTAGAGATTGAAGGAAGACCTGCACTGCACAAGGGTCGGGACAGCGCCAACTAAACCTCGTAGGCTGATTGCTATCAGCAATTTTGCTACTTGGTTTGATATCAAACATTACAACACAAATTAACCTCTGAACCAGTGCAACCAAATTATGGAAGGTTTCTAGCACTGCTCAATTGGATTGGAATACACAGAGATGTGTACCACCACTACACCTGATGTTTGCTCTATTTGGGGTCTATTTGGGGTCTATGCCAATGCGATTTGGTGTCTTGTCTTTTGTCTGGGTTTGCCAACTTGTGCATCTGACAATTTGTCAGGCTCCAGATGACGGTCCTGATGTCTTTGAGGGTGAGGCATGGGTTTATTTTGGTGGCTGGTTCAACGCAGTGCCTTTGATTGTGCGACGATGTGACATACAACAGGCCCTTCCTCCGGATGTTGTGGTGACCCAACCATTGCGGGTGAGCTTCTTGGAATCAGAGATGCGACGGCATAGAAAAAAATGCACCTAGCTATAGTGACAATGGTCTTGGCTCAGCTGGTGACGTAGCTCAGGTCTTGGTTTTGGTTGGTCTTCCCGGATCTGGTCTGACGCCAAGAGTAACCAATACTTTTCGTGTCAACAGTTGGGTGAGCAAACCTGTGGAGTGTCAGATGTTCTTAGCTGAGTCACCGTTCTGCTGAATCGCTCTGTCTGACGAGTGATGAATCTAGGCAAAAGCACCCTTGCATCCAGATTGCAGAAGTTTGGGCCCGGAGCTTTACTTTTCTTGAAGAAGAATCCTATGTTCAAGTCCGTATGTTGAACAGAGCTTGCACATCTCGACATTGTTCATTGTCGCTCCAGATGGGTTGTGATCAACCAAGACACTCTTGGTGTGCGCTCCTTATTCGTCCGACCGGCCGTAAATGCATGGAAGCTCATTCCATCCATGTCTTGAGCATCTCGCAGTTTGGCTGAAGGACAGGAAGAAGTGTGTGGCAGCTGCAAATGAAGCACTCTCCAGTGTCCCACCGGCCATTCTTCAGACGTTTTGTCAGTCATGAATGCTCTTCAACAGTATAAGTTGAAAACATCAATGCAGTTGTCAGCAATGCGGCAAACCAGAGATATTTGTTGCTGAGACTTTTTGGTTTCGGTACCACACGGAGTCTAACCTTCTTTTTGAATTCGCATGGACGGCATGCTTGTTCCATATGATATCTTCCTGTTCATGTTTTCTCATGTCCAACTTGGGAAACTATGATTCAGATGTAGCGTATCATATTTTAGAGTGTCAAGGGACATGTAGAGGGATGGGACATGTAAACGCCATCATAGTCTGTTGGGCATGGGAACTGATGCCACATGAGTAAAACAAATTCGATCATCTCGAGAGGAGTCGAAGCAGAGAAGAAACAAGAACTGAACAAGAAACAACGACTCAACATGATGAGATTGCAAAAACCGAAGGTTTTCTGTATTGCCAGCAAGCAAAATCGAAACGACGGATTTGCCATTGCTGGGAAACTGAACTAGCAGAACATATTCAACAAACTGGACCCCGCTGTGGGCTTTAACATATTTTTCAGGATTATCAAAATCTGTTGCCTAGTATAAAACTATCATTACACTAAACGCACAATGTGAAGACCTTGACATGGCTGGAATCAAAATGAATGTGATGGAGCTGCTATCGCGAATCAACAAATTTAGTGTATAAGTGGCAACAGGTTGGATTCCGCAAATGAAATTTTAAAGAGAAACGCTTGAGCAACGGACAAATAGCAAATACCAATCAATTCGCCACCAGCCAACTCCCCAATCAAAATAAACTTGCCTTACACACAGACACGCATATTCATATACTCACTAATCAACTCAGTACCTCACAAAGCATCTGATTATCTAATCAATTCACAATCAATTCGCTACCTCTCCAGTCAACTTAGGAATCATTTCACTAAAGGTTTGGGACGTGATATCATGTGACTGAGAGGTTGCAACGAATCTTCCAAGCGTGTGCTTGGAAGAGACCAAGAGAAAGTAAAGATGGCTGAAGGTTGGATCTAGACAGTTGCACCATTTTTTTAAAGGAAAGTTTCAAGCAGAGGTTCCATAGAGTGCTACAGACCGTTCCTAGAAGGCAAAACATGGTTGGTAGGGAAAGGGTTTGTTCCGGCTACTAGGTTACATATGCCACACTCGAAAGCCACAAGTCGTGGAACTGTTTCACTTTCCGCATCGATTTGCGGTTTTGGTATCAGCAGCATTGGATTGCCAATATTCCATTTGCATGTAATATCACCATCATGCAATTTTTGTATCCTTTCATTGTACATTTTTTTTTGCCATCAGTGTCCTCATCATTATGCAACTTGTGCGTTTATCAGCCATGCATCTAGCGCTGCTAAACCTCATCCATCGATCGATACAGCATCAGATTTACCGCTGCGATCCCTGGAATTTCCACATTGCTCAGAGGATGTCTAATCCTGAAGAGTCTCTTGTCTTTGGTTCATGACGCAGTTGGTACTTGCTAGATCATCTAGATCTTGTTCAGTATAAGCTCATTAGTAGCCTATTAAGCCTATTAGCCAAGGTGCCTCCTGCCATTTCTGATACATGACAAGAGCCACAGCTTCTCTTGTGCCAGGGCAAGCGCATAGTGGTGGATCGTTGCAATGTCACGCGATTACAGCGACGAGTTTGGTTGGGAGTGGCGGATGAGAACAAGGCGCAGATGAGACCCAACACTATCAGAAACATCCGAAACAAAGACAGCTAGACAGATTTTATCTCACTAGTATTCTTTCGTTCTCCCACCTATACTGACTGTATGCATCTTGTGTCTTGGCCGGTACTTCTCCAACAAACCACTTCATATGTGTACCAGTAGTACCGCACAAGGCGGCGGCGGAAGTTTCAAAAATAGGAAACCTATAGGAGAGGTTGGTTGTTGTGAATCAGGGATGGCAGAGCGAAGCCACTGATGGACCGAAAGGTGCTTGAGGTCTCCTCTCTTTCTCTCTCTTTCTCTCTCTTTCTCTCTTTTTCTCTCTCTTTCTCTATCTTTCTCTGATTATCTACCTACCTACCTACCTGCCTGCCTGCCTGCCTGCCTACCTACCTACCTACTGATCTATGTACTTACCTACCTACTGATCTATCTGTCTACCTATCTATCTGTCTGTCTGTCTATCTATCTTCCTATCTACCTATCCACCTATCTATCTAATCTACCTATCTATCTATCTATCTACCTAATCTATCTATCTATCTATCTATCTATCTATCTTTTTATTTAGCTGTCTCTATCTATTTGTCTGTCTGTCTATCTGTCCATCTATCTATCTATCTATCTATCTATCTTTTTATTTAGCTGTCTCTCTATCTATTTGTCTGTCTGTCTGTCTGTCTATCTGTCTATCTATCTATCTATCTATCTTTTTATTTTGCTGTCTCTCTATCTATTTGTCTGTCTGTCTATGTGTCCATCTATCTATCTATCTATCTATCTACCTACCTACCTACCTTATCTCTCTCTCTCTCTCTCTCCCTCCCTCCCTCTCTCCCTTTTTTCATCTGTCTATCTGTCTAGCTGTCTACCTGTCTATCTGTCTATCTATCTATCTATCTGTCTGTCTGTCTGTCTATCTGTCTACCTGTCTATCTGTGGTGCAGTGTCATTCAGTGTAATGTAGTGTAGTGTAATGTAGTGTAGTGTAGGTGCGCGCGCGTGGGCGCGCTTGGTCGCCGGTGACGCGGCGGTGGCACTCTGTGACATCTGCCTTCCATTTGCGTGGCAGGCGTGGCAGTTGCGGCACTGGGCTGGCTCTGGTGGCGCGCTTGGGCGCGCGATTGGGCGCGCGCGTGGGCGCGCTTGGTCGCCGGTGACGCCGCCGTACTTCCCGTGGCAGCGGGGCTTGGTGACATGCACCCTGGCTTCGCGTGGCAGGCGTGGTGCTTGGTGAGATCTGCCTTTGCGTGGCAGGCATGGCGCTTGCGGCACTGGGCTGGCTCCGGTGGCGCTGGGGCGCGCTTGGTCGCCGATGACGCGGCGGTACTGTGCGTGGCCGGTGTGGCACTTGGTGACATCTGCCTTTCATTTGCGTGGCAGACGTGGCGCTGAGTGACATCTGCCTTTCATTTGCGTGGCAGACGTGGCGCTTGGTGACATTGATCTTCCATTTGCGTGGAAGGGGTGGCGCTTGGTGACATTGATCTTCCATTTGCGTGGCAGGCGTGGCACTTGGTGACATTGACCTTCCATTTGCGTGGCAGGCGTGGCGCTTGGTGACATTGACCTTCCATTTGCGTGGCAGACGTGGCACTTGGTGACATTGACCTTCCATTTGCGTGGCAGGTGTGGCACTTGGTGACATTGACCTTCCATTTGCGTGGCAGGCGTGGCGCTGGTGGCACTGGGCTGGCAGTGTGGCACTTCGTCACACACCATCTTTGCCTTTGACCCACCATCTTTCACACACCACTTTGTCACACACCATCTTTCACACACCAACTTTCACACACCATCTTTCACACACCACTTTGTCACACACCATCTTTGACACACCGCCTTGTCACACACCATCTTTCACACACCATCTTTCACACCACTTTGTCACACACCATCTCTCACACACAATCTTTCACACACACACACAACTTTGTCACACGCTCTCTGTCACACACAACTTTCACACGCACACACACATCATCTTTCACACACAACTTTGTCACACACCATCTTTCGCCACACCATCTTTCACACACAACTTTGTCACACACCATCTTGGACACACCATCTTTCACACACACAACTTTGTCACACGCTCTCTGTCACACACAACTTTCACACACACACACATCATCTTTCACACACAACTTTTGTCACACACACACACACCATCTTTCTATGTCACACACCATCTTTCGCATACAACTTTGTCACACACAACTTTTTTTAAACTTGTTGATCCTTCAACACCTCCTTTGTCTTTCCTTCCTTTCCCGTCCCGCTACAACATTTGCTGCTCATTTTTGGAAGAAGTTGACTTGTGGGGTTGTCCGGTCCTTTAATTGTGGTTGGTTTTGTTGTTGGTAGTTGGTAGTTGGTTGTTGTTTGTTCTTTGTTCTTTGTTCGTCGACGTTTGTGATTCCTGGTCTCTGTGCGCGCTCCCCTTTGCTGTCGGCTGGGGTCGGCGGATTTGACAGGCATCGAGAGGTTCAAGGTACATGGTGCGAGGTTTCTTAGGTTCGAAGTCAAGAGGGAAAGGTTTGGAGCACTGCCTTGACAGTTTGAGATAAAGACTTCTGTTGAGACAAAAAAATTCTCCGCAAAATTGGCTGTCAAAGGACAGCACGCCTACATAGAGAACTTCTGTCTAGGTTTTTTCCCAACAGAGAATTCATTCTTTGACAGAAAAATTCACTACACATGAGACTACCTTGACAAAGTTGGGCAAAGTCTCCGCCATATTCGGACTTTACTATGAGGCTGAAAGCTGAGAGGTTTTGATTCTCTGGCCAGAGCAGCAATGCAGTGCTTGGAATGGAACTGTACAACGTCACAACACGCGTGTGCTCGTACAGGGGGCATGCAGAAGAATGCCAAGAATGCACATGCATGGAACACATGTGCATGGTGTAGCCTCGTTGCAGTAACACCAATTGAACGTGAGTTTATCTTGGCAAACGCATTCACGGTGACAAAGTTGGTTTGGGTCTTGCGATCGTAGTCAGCTTAGGATTGGGGAGGCCTCCCAGGGCCATAGTGTCATGCACTCCAGGAGGTTGGGGAAGGTTTCAGGCTTTTCGTCAGGAGGCTTTGAACAAAGCATCGAGGTTCCTACTCAGGCGACTCAGGAAGTTTTTTGGGTTGATTCAAAAAAAAATCACAAGGTGCACGGGTTTTCACGTGAGGCTCCCTTGCTTTGGTTTGTTGTCATGGGTGGGTGCGTTGTGATGTTTGATAGGCCGTTTGAATCAGCTTGGAGGGTGGTGGACATTTTTCAGCTATTGTTACAGGTATCGTCTCTTTATGAAAAGGCAAAGCCCTTTGAAGCAGAAGCACGGTGCGAGGCAAGCACTGCTTGCATTTGGCTGGACGTGCCAGAAGCAGAATCCTTAGGGGGTCCAGTCCTGCTTGTCCTTATTCAGAAACTTGTTCCATCAAATTTTGAAGATCTTGCTTATCTCTATGGCAATCCAAGGAGGAATGCGGCGATCGTGTTCTCCACAGATTTGGCCACAGCACCCTCCCGGCAGACAATTCCAGCTTGGAGGTGGATGACTCAAACCGACTCAGACCGACTCAGACTGACTCAGACAACTGATAGCTCAGCCATGGCTCAGCCATAGCTCAGCCATAGCTCAGTCATAGCTCAGCCATAGCTCAGCCATAGCTCAGCCATAGCTCAGCCGTAGCTCAGCCATAGCTCAGCCATAGCCCAGCCATGGCTCAGCAATAGCTCAGCAATAGCTCAGCAATAGCTCAGCAATAGCTCAGCCATAGCTCAGCCATAGCTCAGCAATAGATCAGCCATAGCTCAACCACAACTCAGCCATAGCTCAGCCATAGCTCAGCCATAGCTCAGCCATGGCTCAGCAATAGCTCAGCCATAGCTCAGCAATAGCTCAGCAATAGATCAGCCATAGCTCAACCATAACTCAGCCATAGCTTAGCCATATAGCTCAGCCATAGCTCACCCATAGCTCAGCCATAGGTCAGCCATAGCTCAGCCGTAGCCATATAGCCATGGCTCAGCCATAGCTCAGCCATAGCTCAGCCATAGCTCAGCCATAGCTCAACCATAACTCAGCCAGAGGTCAGCCATAGCTCAGCCGTAGACATATAGCCATGCTCAGCCATAGCTCAGCCATATAGCTCAGCTATAGCTCAACCATAACTCAGCCATAGGTCCAGCCATGGCTCAGCCATGGCTCAGCCATAGCTCAGCCATGGCTCAGCCATAGCTCAGCCATAGCTCAGCCATAGCTCAGCCATAGCTCAGCCATAGCTCAGCTATAGCTCAGCCATAGCTCAGCCATAGCTCACCAATAGCTCAGCCATAACTCAGCCATAGCTCAGCCATAGCTCAGCCATAGCTCAGCCATAGCTCAGCAATAGCTCAGCAATAGCTCAGCAATAGCTCAGCAATAGATCAGCCATAGCTCAACCATAACTCAGCCATAGCTCAGCCATAGCTCAGCCATAGCTCAGCCATGGCTCAGCCATAGCTCAGCCATAGTTCAGCCATAGCCCAGCCATAGCCCAGCCATAGCTCAGCCACAGCTCAGCCATCGCTCAGCCATAGCTCAGCCAGGCAAAGCTCAGCCAGGCACAGCTCAGCCAGCCATCGCTCAGCCATGGCTCAGCCACAGCTCAGCAATAGCTCAGCAATAGCTCAGCAATAGCTCAGCCATAGCTCAGCCATAGCTCAGCCATAGCTCAGCCATAGGGCAGCCATAGCTCAGCCATAGCTCAGCCATAGCTCAGCCATAGCTCAGCCATAGCTCAGCCATAGCTCAGCCATAGCCCGGCCATAGCTCAGCCATAGCTCAGCAATAGCTCAGCAATAGCTCAGCAATAGCTCAGCAATAGATCAGCCATAGCTCAACCATAACTCAGCCATAGCTCAGCCATAGCTCAGCCATAGCTCAGCCATGGCTCAGCAATAGCTCAGCAATAGCTCAGCAATAGCCGTAGCCATAGCTCAGCCATAGCTCAGCAATAGATCAGCCATAGCTCAACCATAACTCAGCCAGAGGTCAGCCATAGCTCAGCAATAGCTCAGCCATAGCCCGGCCATAGCGCTCAGCCACAGCTCAGCCATAGCTCAGCCATGTCTCAGCAATAGCTCAGCCATAGCTCAGCCATAGCTCAGCCATAGCTCAGCTATAGCTCAGCCATAGCTCAGCCATAGCTCAGCCATAGCTCAGCAATAGATCAGCCATAGCTCAACCATAACTCAGCCATAGCTCAGCCATAGCTCAGCCATAGCTCAGCCATAGCTCAGCAATAGCTCAGCAATAGCTCAGCAATAGCTCAGCAATAGATCAGCCATAGCTCAACCATAACTCAGCCATAGCTCAGCCATAGCTCAGCCATAGCTCAGCCATGGCTCAGCAATAGCTCAGCAACAGCAATAGCCCAGCCATAGCTCAACCATAACTCAGCCATAGCTCAGCCATAGCTCAGCCATAGCTCAGCCATGGCTCAGCAATAGCTCAGCAATAGCTCAGCAATAGCTCAGCAATAGCTCAGCCATAGCTCAGCCATAGCGCAGCAATAGCTCAGCGATAGCTCAGAGCACCCAGGTCATTTCAGCCTTCCAGGAACGCTTCGAAAGTCCTATGGAGGTGCAAGTTCGCAAGATTTCGCAACATATTCAGTAGCCAATTCAGATTCCATGTCATGTGACTGGAAGTTGAAACGTGCGAGCTTTGGCAACTTCACATCCTGGAGATTTTTAGATCTTCCAACTCTGTGTCGGATTCAACTTTCACAAGATCCACTCGTCTTGCAGATCAGTCCTGAGGCAGAAGGCTTTGTGATGTGGTTGGTAAGGGATGATGGTGACCTTGATGAGGTGAAGCAGACCGTGATCGTGGCGACTTTTAAAGTCTAGTTTTTTAATGCAAGTTTTTGCAATATGCAATATCATGCGATATCAATATTTTGCAATTTTGCGTACATCGAATTATTCATTTCTGCCATGTCACATTATGTTACAATGTTGGATCCATGACATGCCCTGTAAAGAATTGGACAGGAAGGACACAGATTCGATACGATTCGACTCTGGTCATTCTTAAGATATTCTTGTCAGTCGAACCTGTCGCAACTTGGTCGCAGGCTGTGGCACAGCTGCAAGAGCTAGTTGAGCGCAGTGAGGTCCGGCGCAAGGATCTACTGTGGTTTGATGATTTTGATGGCAACCGATGGCAAGGTGCAAATATATCAAATAGCCACCTGATTTGAACTTTGCAGGCTTTAGCGGAAGAAACACAACCTGCTGCGAAAGCAAAATCACCATACTCCCGCCACTCTGAAGCATTTCCGTACAAGGCCATCGGATCCCAGCGGCAATCCACACATCAAGCTGCAGTGGCACTTGAACAGTCACCAACAGTTTTGGTTGAAAATCTAACACCAATGGTGGAACGATGCTTTCCTCATCTTGCCTGGTGTGCAAAAAACGGAGGGCATCAAGCTGACCTGGTCCAACTCTGAATTGGATTCCTTCAGACATAACAGGCGTTCCAGCGGAGGGGTGCTCGAGCTCTCTACTTGCGAGCTTTGCGTCGGCAAATCGAGTATTACTTTTCGGACTGCTCCACAGCGAGACCTGTTGTCCATTTCAAGATGAGCTTTGCATCTTTGATTCACTTTTCGCCTTCAACCCTCAATCGGTCTTGGGCAATGAAACATGTCGCAGTGTCAGTAGTTTAGATTCTCTTCAGGACAAGAATCTCAAGCAAGACTGGTCCAACTGACATGTATTGTCAAGATATTTGGCATTTTTTTCCTCGCGCCATCTCTCTCAATTGGTCATATTTGGTCGTTTCTTGCAACACGGTGCGACTGTATTTCCTGAATTTACTTTACAAATTGAAGTTTTACGCAGTGTGGGTTTGACAGGTTCTTTCAGGAAAAGATCCAAGAGCCACCTGAGCCCGGATGGCTGGAGCTTCGATGGATCCTGTCCTGTCCAAGAATTCGAGATGTCCTTTGCAAAGAACTCAGAGGAACTCGGTGCATGTTACAGCCGTGGATGGCTATGGATAGCTTGTTTTGGGTGGTTTGCTTTGCTTGATTCCCTGTGTTCAGCCTTCGTTGCAACTCAAGTTATTCTTCTATAAACTAATTATATAGATTTCAATCATTTTCAATCATAGGTGCGAGCGCGGAAGATGTCTTGGAAGCCTTAGGGCCTTCTCCACTGAAGCAGAAGGCCGCTGCCGACGCTTTTCGCTGTGCCGTGATGTGGCCTGCCTGGCCTGCAGTGTGCCCCCATAGGCTGCTCGTGGATTTCAGTGGGTTCGCAGGACGGGCCTGTCGACCGATACAGCACAGCACGGCACAGTACGGCACACCATGGCACAGTCAAAGTTGGGCGCGGTGGCTTGATGTCCGCGTCGGGCACGGATAGAGCATCGTACTGCAGAGAGTAGCGACTCCTTTTGCCTGTTTGACATTTCAATGCTAAGAGTTCCGCGAATGTAGAAGCTTCATTGCTGCCTGTGCAGGACAAAGCCTTTGCCAAAGCTGAAAGAGAAGCGTCTGCAACCAAGAGAAGCTGAAAGGACATCATGCGATGATTTTTGAACCGGTTTGATGCTTGAACTCAACTGTTGCTGCTGGAAGTCGTACACAGCTGCTTTGCCGAGGGCCTGCCAAGGGTCATGAGCCTGAGTGGTATGCATCTGGACTGCAAATGCCATTTCAAGATCGGGCACGCACACACACACACATGTGCACTCAAACGCGCACACACACACACACTGGACTGGTTTTGAACTTTTGAAGTTAGATCCGCCAAAGGTGTAGCCGATACATGGCAAAGAGCCTACAGGGTTGAACAATGTTCGTTTCTTATGAAAGGCTGTTTGCAGCCCTTCAGTGTGTGAGGTAATGCTCCATGCTGACACAGCAAACCCAGAAGATTCAGGCTTCGTTTTTACAACAGACCCAGGATCAGCTACAACACTTCCACAAATTACTGGTCGTCTCCACTTCATGCCAGGTGCAGAGTCCGAGAATGAAGAGGCAAGGAGACAGCGTTTTCTCTGGCAACCTGCTTCGGAACCCTTCTTGTTTTGCAGGCAAGCGGAGACGGGGACAACCTGGAGAAAGGTAAGGATGGGGAGGTGCATTTTGCGATTATCTCTGTGGACATTTCCATATTTTCCTTGATTTACTTTTGAATCTCTGCTTCATACTGCTTCATACTGAGACCTGTGATTGTGCGGAGACCTGCAGCATTGAGGTGCCAAAGTGCGTCGTGTGTCGTCGCCAACGCCCGAAGAGCTGCTTTAGCAAGGTCAGTATATATCCAGATCATGGGCACATGTCTTACCTGTGTCTAAACAGCAATATTTGCGCGAGTAGTGTCAAAAACTAATTGGTTTATTGTCAATACCAGTACCACACAAGGCGGTGGCGGAAGTTTCAAAAATAGGAACCTATAGGAGAGGTTGGTTGTTGTGAATCACGGATGGCAGAGCAAATCCACTGATGGACCGACAGGTGGTTGGAGTTGTGTTTTTTGGAATGGTTGCAATGGTTGCAGTGGTCACCTTACCACAACTGCTGGATGTAGTGTGGAGTAGTGCAGTTGTAGTTGCAGTTGTAGCTGTAGTTGTAGTGTAGTGTAGTGGAGCTGTAGCTGTAGCTGTAATGTAATTAGTTTATTGGCAAGTGCAGTTGCAGTTGTAGTCGTGGTGTGGTGTAGTAAGCGTAGTATAGTGCAGTGTAATGTCGTGTAGTGTTGTGTAGTGTAATGTGGCTTAGTGTAGAGTAGTCTTGTGTAACGTAGTGTAGTTGTAGTTGTAGTTGTAGTTGTAATTGTAGTTGTAGTTGTAGTTGTGCTGTAGTGCAATATAAATAGTGTAGTGTAGTGTCGTGTAGTGTAGTATGTGTAGTGTAGTGTAGTGCAATGTAATGTAGTGGTAGTTGCAGTGGTAGTAGTAGTTGTAGTTGCAGCTGCAACTGTAGTTGTAGCGTAATGCAATGTAATCAGTGTAGTGTAGTGTTGTGTAATGTAGTGCCGTTGTAGTTGTAGTTGTATTTGTAGGTGTAGTGCGCTGCAGTGTAATTAGTGTAGTGTAGTGTATTTGTACTTGTAGTTGTAGTTGTGGTAGTAGTTGTTGCAGTTGTTAGTGCAATTCGTGTAGTGTAGCGTAATTAGATGTAATTAATTAGTGTAGCGTAGCGTAATTCGTGTAATGTAGCGTAGTATATTTCTATTTGTAGCTGTAGCAGTAGTGTAGTGTAGTGGTAGTTGTAGCTGTAATTGTCTCTATCTACCTATCTACCTATCTACCTATCTACCTATCTGCCTGTCTGTCTATCTATCTATCTATCTATCTGTTTGTCTGCCTGTCTGCCTGTCTGCCTGTCTGCCTGTCTGCCTGTCTGCCTGTCTGCCTGTCTGCCTGTCTGCCTGTCTGCCTGTCTGTCTGTCTGTCTGTCTACCTGCAAGCTTGAAAACGCAGCAATTCTGCGAGACTTCCCCAATTTTTGAACTTGACAACAGGTGTTTGGAGTTGTGTTTTTTGGAATGGTTGCAATGGTTGCAGTGGTCACCTTACCACAACTGCTGGATGTAGTGTGGAGTAGTGCAGTTGTAGTTGCAGTTGTAGCTGTAGTGACAGTGCTGTAGCTGTAGCTGTAATGTAACTAAGTTATTGGCAAGCGCAGTTGCAGTTGTAGTCGTGGTGTGGTTTAATTCGTGTAGTGTAGTGCAGTGAAATGTCGTGTAGTTTTGTGTAGTGTAGTGTGGTATAGTGTAGTGTAGTCTAGTGCAACGTAGTGTAGTTGTAGTTGTAGTGTAGTGGAGTGTAATTAGTGTAGTGTAGTGTCGTGTAGTGTAGTGTCGTGTAGTGTAGTGTAGTATGTGTAGTGTAGTGTAGTGCAATGCAATGTAGTGGTAGTTGTAGTGGTAGTTGTAGTGGTAGTTGTAGTTTCAGTTGCAGCTGCAACTGTATTTGTAGTGTAATGCAATGCAATCAGTGTAGTGTAGTGCTGTGTAATGTAGTGTGGTTGTAGTTGTAGTTGTATTTGTTGTTGTAGTGTGCTGCAGTGTAGTTAGTGTTGTGTAGTGTAGTTGGCGAAGGAAGTTTAGAAGTCAAACTTCCGACAATATGGACAGATGAAAAGCAGAGATGGGAAGGGTCAGAGAAGAGAAGAGAAGAAGAAAGAAGATCAAAAAAGAGAAAGTCTCAGAAGAAAGAAGATCCAGGTGCGCGAAAAGGTAGGAATGTCGCGAAAACCAGCGTTTTTCCAATGATTTGTGGCTCCAGAGGGTCGAAAAGTAGGCTCGCTAAAGCGGCGGGTGCGGAGCCAGCCAGATGAGAG